TTTCTTTCCCTCAGTTTCAATAGCCGTTATGCATTGCCTTAAAAGTTATGGGAAGGCTACTCTACCTTTGGAAAATGTGTAGAGGAGCCCTCCCTCCCTCCCTCAGTGCTGCCCTGTGACTTGTAGGTGCTGGGGTTTGGCTGTGTTTTATGGTGGTATTTCCTTCTGGCTGTCTTTGGAGCAGGGCTCGCCGCTTGTTTTCCTTTCTACACACAAGTCCCTCTTGGATGGGTTCCTCCTGCCTTTCGTACTGTTCTCCCAGGGCCTGGGTGTGGTCCGTGTGGCTTTGGACCCCCGCACCTGCTCCCCTGCTCTCAGGTATGACAGGAGGGAAATCCCAGGCTGGAGCAGGAGGGTGAAAGTTAATTCGCCTTCTTAGGGTGTTTTCAGCCATATGACAGCCTAACTTGTAGACTTAGATGGATGGTTGGCTATGGGTGCTTGGGCCATGACTGCTTCAAGTGCCTAGTCAGACAGGCTGGGAGAGGCAAGACTCTTGTGAAGCATCTGGGCCCAGTCTCTCCTCCAAAGCCCTTTCTCACTAGGCTCTGTCCTGTGCTCACAGAGCTCTACTGAAGAAACTTGGGGGACTTTTCCTGCCCCCAGAGGCCAACCTGTCCTTGGACAGCTCAGATGGCATCCTTGCAAGGGCTGTGGTCCGTGCAGTGAGTGTTTCCTGTGGTTATGTATGGGGTGGGCCAAGGGTACAAGAGTCTGCTTCTAATCTGGCCTCAATGCTCACCCTTCCTCTCTCCTAGGCTGTGGAGCAGCTGCTCGCCAGTGGGCAGCCTCTTCTCATCTTCCTTGAAGAGCCTCCTAGGTGCCCAGGGCCCAGGCTTTCAGCCCTGGGCCAGGCCTGGCTAGGACTGGTGGTCCAAGTGGTCCAGGAGGGCATCATTCCAGATGCCACACTGGTACCAGTTGCCATTGCCTATGACCTGATTCCAGATGCACCATGTGACATGAACCATGTGAGAGCCTCTTGTCCCTGGGGACCCCAAGTGGACACCACTTCTGGGTGGCACAGTATGTTCTGTGATTGGGCTTCCTTAGAGCTGAAGTCAAATTGGAATGTGAGCTGTGTGTAAAGGAACTGACACGACAGTCACAACCCTGCAGTATTTCCCAAGGTCTTTGCCATCACCACCTTAGAAAAGACCCCACAAGGGAGGTCATGGGTGCAACAGTTTGGAGAAGACCAGTGAGCAGTGTGGATGGCAGAATGGGTAGCAGCCCTGAGAATTGTCCAAGAATACATGTGCAGCCTGTCCTTCCCTGCAGGACTTGGCTCCCTTGGGGCTATGGACAGGAGCCTTGGCTGTCTTTCGGAAACTGTATAACTGCTGGGGCTGCAACCGGAGAGCCTGCGTCAGGGTACATCTCGCTCAGCCTTTTTCCCTCCAGGTATGAAACCAGTTGGGAAAGGCTGGGAGAGCTTTTGTGATTTGGCCTTCAAAGCCATTGTAGGGATAGTATTTTCTGTCTTAGATGGTTTGTGTGTGGGTTTCCTGGGGGGCAAAAGCAGACCACACATCTTTATCCTGGGCAGGAATACACCATCAATGCTAGAAGCTGCTGGGACAGCAGGCAGACCCTGGAACACTTGCTGCAGCCCATTGTGTTAGGTGAATGGTAAGGAGCACAGATGTATGGGTCTCGGAAGGGAGGCAGGTGGCTCTTCAGCTCATGGCCGCTCCAACCATCCCAGAACATCAGCACCAGACACTCACCTTCCCTACAGTCTAAGTGGAGGATGGCACACAGGCCTGGACAGGGACTTGGGGAAAACAGCTGTAGCTCTGGTTTCATTCTTTGATCTGTCTCTATTCCAGTAGTGTTGTTCCAGACACTGAGAAGGAGCAGGAGTGGACCCCATCAACTGGGCTCCTCTTGACTCTCAAAGAAGAGGACCAGCTCCTGGTCAGAAGACTGAGCAGGCATGTCCTGAGTGGTAAGGGAAACCCAGATCTGTACCTTTAGGGTGGGGTTTCAACAGTACTTTATGTGGATAATACGGGACCAGTTACTAGGACCTGAGCACCCCCACCCCCTTCGTGGCACACTCAGGATACCAGAAGAGTGGGGCATGCAGAGAGGGGGGAGCAGATAACTCAATGTCTGAGCCAAAGATCTATGCCAGGGCCATCCCAATCTCAGATGCCCCTCAACCAGTGTCCTTAGCTGTAGCTGAGTCGAGTAGCAACACGTGCCTGCAGAGTTGTTAATGATGTGGCTGTTAGTGCTTTCTCAAATGTCACTCTGTAGCACACTGTTGGGGTGGGTCTGGTTATACTATACTGGAACCTGCTCTCTCCTGCTGGGGTGGAGATAGGACTGTATGGTTGGGTCCTGACCCCTGACAGCACCCTACATTCCCACCTTCCCCCTCTCCCCAGCCAGTGTGGCCAGTTCAGCAGTGATGAGCACAGCCATCATGGCAACACTGCTGCTGTTGAAGCACCAAAAGGTAAGGGCACTGTACGGTGGGGCCTAAGGGAAGAGCAGGGCTTGGCCCCTGCTCAGGTCTGTTCTGCCTCCAGGGTGTGGTCCTATCACAGCTCCTGGGGGAGTTTTCCTGGCTGACCGAGGAGACACTGCTGCGTGGCTTTGACGTGGGCTTCTCTGGGCAACTGCGATGCCTGGCTCAACATACACTGAGCCTGCTGAAGGCACAAGTGGTTCTGCTGCGTGTCCACCAGGGGGACTTGGTGGTGGTGCCACGACCTGGGCCAGGCCTCACATACCTGGCACGTCTGAGCAAGGAATTGCTGCCCACCTTCCTGAGCGAAGCTGTGGGTGGTGAGTTGGTGGGCTCACAGGGTGGGGTGATGTGCAAGGAGAGGGGAACGGCTCCCTCCTTAAGCAGCCTCCTCTGCCAGCCTGTGCAGTGCGGGGGTTGCTGGCCGGCAGAGTACCACCTGAGGGGCCGTGGGAGCTGCAGGGCATAGAGCTGCTGAGTCAGAATGAACTGTACCGCCAGATCCTAATGCTGCTGCACCTGCTACCCCAAGACTTACTTCTGCCCCAGGTCAGATTCCTCTCCCGTAGCTCATCAAGGCCCTGGGCCTTGTCATTATGACCTCCTGTGGTAGTGATCCTGTCCTCCAACTACCTCTGGTCAGAATTCTGCTAGTCCCACCCCACCCCCTTCTGGGGGGGGGGGTATGTTCTCAGAAGGGCTTTGGTGCTTCTCTTCCTACAGCCCTGCCAGTCTTCCTACTGCTACTGTCAGGAAGTGCTGGACCGCCTCATCCAGTGTGGGCTCCTGGTTGCTGAGGAGGTATGCTCCCACCCTAGGTGCAGCGCCCTGGGCTGCTCATCTAGCCCAGCACGTGCAAGCCTGTTTCCACTAGCCTGGGCCTATGTGTGTCATGCCAGTTTGCATGTGTAGCTACGGTTCTCTTCACACATCCTGCCTCCACATTTCTTAGTGAGCTTGGGTACTTGACCCAAGTAGCTCTGGGTATCCTTTTGGGCCTGCTGGGCCAGGACCAGGTCTGAGGGTTGTAGAGCTGATTCCGGCCCAGCCTTACCAGATACCAATAACTCTTCCCAACTCCTAGACTCCAGGCTCCCGGCCAGCTTGTGACACGGGAAGGCAGCATCTGAGTGCTAAGCTGCTGTGGAAACCGAGTGGGGACTTCACTGACAGTGAAAGCGATGACTTTGAGGAGCTAGGGGGCCGGTGCTTCAGGGTATGCTGGGAGATGCTACATACCCTGGGAGGCAGTGGAGGTGAGGTGGTAAGGTACCTGGGAGCCCACCTTCCCACTCTGGTCTGGCTCTCTTCAGCTTAGCCAGCAGTCTCGCTGCCCTGACTTCTTCCTCTTCCTCTGCCGCCTGCTCAGTCCAATACTCAAGGCCTTTGCACAGGCTGCCGCCTTCCTCCACTTGGGGCAGCTGCCGGATTCAGGTAAGGCCCTTACCCCTGGCAGTGTTCAAGCAAGGTAAGGCTCAGTTCCATAGAGCTGAGCTCTAGGTCTAATCTCTCCTGCAGAGGTGAGCTACTCAGAGCAGTTGTTCCAGTTTTTACAGGACTGTGCCCAAGAAGAAGGGATCTTTGGTGAGTTCCAAGCCCCATCTCAGATTTCCTAAAGGAGGTAGTTTGCTGGTGACTGCTTCCCCCTGCTGGACAGTAACTGCCTGACACAGGGAAGGGAGCTAGCATACAGAGCTTTAGTTAACATGCAAGCCCTACCTAGATGGTTCTCCTTTAAGAGGAAGAAAGCCCTGCCCAGTGGCACCCTGGCTTCCCTCAGAGCTTTTATTGTCTTTCTCTTTCTTCCAGAGTGTGCAGACCCAAATCTTGCTATCAGTGCTATCTGGACATTCAAAGACCTGGGGGTAAGAGGGACATTATCACCATTCTGTCCCTGACCTCACCCCAAGCCCCACGGGCTGCTAGAACTGCTCAGAGGAACTACCTTGTTCCCACACCCCATGGTGAATGCTAGCGAGGATGGTTTGCTTTCCCTACTACAGTGGGGTCCCAGGGACATCAAGTAGTATTTATACTCAGGCGCTGAGGCATCACTACAGAGTTTTTTGGGGGTTGGGATGGGGAAGGCTTGGCTCTGGGGACACTGTCCCTTCACCAAGGGTGCTTACAGTCCATCTTGTGGTTCAGGTACTACAGCAGATGCCCAGCCCTACAGGACCCCAGCTCCACCTGTCCCCTACATTTGCCAGTCGGGACAACCAGGACAAGCTAGAACAATTTATCCGACAGTTCATCTGCAGTTAGAAACAGTGGAACCTGATGGGACTTGTCAGCCTAGAACTTAAGGGTGTGTCCTCTCATTAGGACACAGCTAACCTGAACTTACAAAAGCTATGTTTACTCATCATTGGTGTGATAAATAAAGACACGAGGTTAGTTTCTTCCCTAAGCCTGAAGCATGTGTCTAATATCTACTTCCTCCTTACTCAGTCCTGTGAAAATGGCCCACCGTACGGGGATGGGGGAATTGTGTGTGGCTAAAAGACAGCAGAAGCTAAGCTGCAACTCAGAGAAAATTTATTTCCAAGGCCTACCTAGGAGCACCTCAAGTGGGCAGGGCCAGCAGTGAACTTCGTGGGAGCAAGAGTCCCACCTTGTGTCAAGTCCAGTGCTCACAGGGATACCATCACACCACCTTGTTGACAATGACACCAATTTCTTCAATCTCACACTGGACTTCATCCCCCTTCTGTAATACAGCAGGCCACCAGGCTTTTAGCCCCCGTTTCACTCTCCGCAGGTTGCTCCAGGCTTGCCAGGCCTCTCTAGCTCCCATTTCTCTACCATTTCCTCTTTTAAACGGACTCACCTTGAGAAAGACAGGAGGCTTCCTAAACACACCGACACCTGGAGGAGTCCCGGTCAGGATGATGTCCCCTGGATAAAGAGTGACAAACCTAGGGACAACACAAGGGTCAGTAAGACTATGGGCTGAGGTGTGCAGTGGGCGTGGGTGGCAGTGGCTGTGACAGGCTCCACTCACTCACTGGGAGACCCAGGCTATCAGCTCTTCAGTCTTGAATACCATCTGGTTGGTGCTGCTGCTCTGGACTACCTCCCCATTCACGCGGCAGAAGATCTTTAGATTATGTGGGTCTGGAATTCAAGACAATCCTTGGGTTACCCAGTCCCAAAGGAGAGAGGAAACTGTAGGGAGCATGTCTGCCCACCTTGGCTTAGCACTCTACCCTGGGACTTCCTGTACAGACTGGAATTCCCTAAATTTATGTATCAACAGCAATAGCCCTTAAGTGAGGGAAGGAGAGACATTCTAGACTCTGGACAGAGAAAAACAGCCGAGGGATTTGCCTTTCGGCTTCGCAGGCAGAGGCACTTACTGCCAAGCCTGGGGCCCTGAGTTTGATCTCTAGGATCCATATGGAAGAGAACCAACTCCTGGAAATTGTCCTTTGACTTCTCTCCAGGTGCCATGGCATACACATACACGAAGAAATGTAATAAAATGTTTTAAAGCTGGTAACTAGATCTAAAATGACTCAGCATGTCCAAGCAAACAGGGATAGCGGAGCAGCAGATGATAGTTCTTCGCAAACTATCTTGTGCCCTTCACAGCAGCTGGAGTACAGTTTCTGAGGCACCACTGTCCTGAGGGGCTCCCCCACACACCCATGTCATACCCTGCTGATGATTGCACAGTGGGTGGACAAGGTCCTATTTATTGGTGCTCTTCCGCCTCTCCCTTACAAAAAAATGAACAGGCTTCATCACACACAGCCATTCTCCAGCATGCTCAGGAGCCAGCCTTGCTTCCTTCTAGCTTAAGGACTGGCTACTGGAGACGGGGAAGCTGCAGAAGCCCCTCCCTGACCCCCAAGTACAGTGCTCTTGTAGTTCATTTTGTGATGTAATTTCACAGCAGCTGCGGCTCTGTTCCCTCTAAGAGGCTCTGGAAGAAGCTCCACAGAGCTGGTTCACAGCGGAGGCTGGCCACTTGCTCTCTGTGGGGACGACAGTGGCATCCAAGCTCTGCATGCACTTGTAAGTGCAGTCATTGCTGGAGCACTATTTTCTCCTGAAGCTCAGGTGCTGCACATGGGAGGGCTCAAGTGGCAAAGACTAACAACCTACCTGTTATGCTGTCCCTGGTAACCAAGGCAGGGCCCAGGGGGCAGAAAGTATCAAAAGTTTTTCCCAGTAACCACTGCTTTCCATTGCGTCTCATCTGCCAGTCCCGGGCACTCACATCATGAGCCACAGTGAAGCCAGCCACGTGAGCCATGGCATCTGTGGCCTGTTGGGGCAGATATGGCCAGACAGGTTACATCACCCAACCCCTAGAACAAAGAATCTCAAAACTATTATCACACATTAGCACCAGTACTGGCTAACGGTGGTGTGTGAAAGGCAAGGGACTAAAAGTGCCAAACACGCCCCGGTGTAAGACAGCACCACTGGAGTTGGGCACTGGCAGAGAGGACTTGGGACTGCTGCTCCTCCCTGGCCTGGGAGCACCCTTCCACCTCACCTTGATGTGCTTGCCTTTCTTTCCAATGATCACAGCCAGTTCCACCTCCCAGTCCACCTCCTGCAAGTGGGAGAGGACAGTGAGCTGCAGCGGCCGCAAGGTAGGCCTCAGCTCTAGGAACCAGGGTGAAGTGAATGACATGGCCATGACTTGCAGACCCATAATCTCTGGGCAGTGGCAAGCAGCACCATTGGAGGTGACTAGCTCAACACGTCTGGGGAACTGAGTTTAAAAGTCACTTTGGACGCCCGCAATGGAGAGTGACACCGAGCAGTAACAGTTAGCAATGTGTAGCTCTACTGTGCCTGACACTATGCATGCGCTATCCTGGAATAAATGTATTCACGGGGCTTAAATCAACTCACAAGGAAGAAATGCACATGGCTACAAAATGTGAACAAATGCCAGCCTCTCCCCAAGTGAGCAAAATGCAACTGGAAAGAACTTCAGTTTAATCTTTCTCAGATGTTTTTAATGGTAATGGAAAGAACTGGCAGAAGTTCACCTGAACTCAGGTGCCAGCTTGTGCTACAGATGCCACTAAACAAGCAGGCCCCTAGAGAAATGGCTGACTAGTGTAGCAGACTGCACAAGATCTTCAGTGAAGCCAGAAAGTAAGGCCATGCTCAAAGGGGAATGGAAACAGGATGGGCCAAAGCGGGTTAACCCAAATTAGGTAAGAAGAAAACAGAATTCAAGGGAATACTCAAAATACAAAGGGAGGAGGACTAGGGAGATGGCTCAGCAGGTAAGGGTACTAGTCACATAAGCCTGATAACCCAAGTTCAACCTTAGAACACACGTAAAAGGCTGGATACAGCAGCACACACTTGTAATCTCAGTACTCCTATAGTGGACAGGAGGCAGAGCAGAATCATCCAGAAGCTTAGGAGCCAGCTAGCCTGGTATGCAGCGTAGAAACGAGGCCCTGGCTGCCTCAGCAGGGTGCAAGGTGAGAACCAACAGTGCGAGACAGAGAGAGAGACAGAGTTCTAGGGAATACTACACCTTCTGGCCTCCAAAGGCCAGTTATGGTCAAGTGAGCAATGTGGTGACATCTGAGGACACCTGACGTGGGAAACACGCGACATTTCCTGCCTAGGACACCTCAGAAAACTGCTTCTGCTGGTCACAAGGAAATGGGGCAAACTAAGCACAGGCACCCTATGAGGAAACAATCCTTCAAAAAGTGTCAGGAAAGGGAACCACGTGGAGATCTCAAATGTGTCAGGGAGAAGACTGAGCGGGATGAAAAGATATTCTTGATGGAGTTGGGACAAGGCAGGGTGTCTGGCAGAGACAGCCGGGACAGACAACGGGGGAAGACCAAACAGAACGAAAGATGTTCTTGATGGAGTCCAAGAACAATGTGTGGTAGACTACACCTGGACAGACAGCGCTGGGCGAATACAGCAATGCGAACACCAAAGCATGGGCAGCAGGACACTGGTGGCTTTACCTAGGTTATTAATATACTTTCATCATGGAAAACAGCTTTGTAATTGGGGAAAGAGGTACGCTATTTCCTCATGTCACCCACACCCAGGCTGTGTTAGTATTAGTCCTCTCTAGCTTCTGTGTCGTGGTCGTGCCCTCCCAGTGACAGAAGGTTCCTCAAGGGCAGTGGTTCTCAACCTTCCTAATGCTGCAACCCTTGGATACAGTTCCTCATATTGTGGTGACCCCCAGTCATAAAATTACTTCATTGCTACTTTATAACTGTAACTTTGCTACTGTTATGAATCATAATGTATCTGATATATGATCCCTGTGAAAGAGTCATTTGTCCCCCAAAGGAGTTGTGACCCACAGGTTGAGAACCACTGCTCCAGGGGAATGACCCTTACGCCGGACCACAGCCACCTGGGCGGTGGGAGGCACTAACCTTGCTCTCTGGTGGGAGGATGATCTCATCGTAGGGCCCCACAATAGAACTGGAGAACTTGCTGAAGATGATGGGCTCCTTGGGCACCCGCACATTCTGTTCTTTGCAGTGATCTGCATAATTCATGCCCACACATACCACCTTGTCTGGCCGGGTGACAGGGGCCAGGAAGGTCACCTGTGACCGAGGGAGGACTGGCAACTGGGTAGCCAGGGCTCTGTAGAGACCAAGCGGGAGAAGGGCTAGCAAGGAACAGATTGGGAGTCCCAGGGCAGGCTGGGGAGGTCCCTCGGCAGTTGTGAGTTGTGCTTTTTGCATTTTCTGTATCTTTCCCCATTGGTGTAAGACTCAAACCCAGCTCCATAGTCCTTTTATAGCAAAGCATGGTGGTACTCCTCAGTGCGTATTTCCTCCCCACTTGGGTAATTCCTGTTCGTGCAGAAGTATGTGAAAGGTTCCTGTGGAATTAAGTGGAGAGGTCTCTTTCCTCTAAGGGTCTAAATAGAACCCACACCTTCCTAAAAGAAGCCTTTCTTGGGACCTTGTTGTGACTCCTCCAATGGGCAGAACTTAGCCTCTCAGGAAGGCAGTATAATAATGTAAGGTCGTAGCTCCACAACCAAATGAATTAACCATACTCCCGAGCCTCAGTTTCCCTCTCTGAGGGAACTGAGAGTGTTGTTATATAAGACTTTAAGGCTTCTGCTGGATATGGTTATATATACCTGTAATTCACTTGTAGCATTTAAGAGGCCGAGGCAGGAGGTTCTCTAGTTCAAAGCCTGCCTAGGCTATATAGCAAGACCCTGTCTCAAAGGAAAAGATAAATGACTGTTAGCTCTTCACTAAAAGAACAAGTGAAAAAGAAAACAGGGGGATCCCCTGCTCCTTTGAAAGGAGGTACCTGCTGATTCTGATTCTCAGGGCAGGATTGAAATGGAGGAGCGAGAGGGACCAGGACCTGCTGACTTACCTTCTTGCCACTGAGAGGGTAGTCTCTCCCTGCTCCAGGAACTGCAGCATTGTCTTGGGGAGTGTGGGGTCAAAGGTGTTTAGGTCTACGACTCCCCCTCCAATCCCCGACTCCAGGCCCAGGTGAGGCTCCTCCAGGTGGGGTGTCTGGAACTGTACCAGTCTCATCGCTCTCGAAGGCTGACAGGGCCTCTTCTGAACGTGCAGCAGAGCTGAGAACAACCTTTTACCAGAGCTCAGCATCAACACCTAAATGGAAAGAAGACAGGAGGACTGGAGAACTATCATGAAGATCCCTTAGTTCCTCTGCCCCATCAAGCATTCCCAGCATACCGGTGGGGAAGTGCTCACGTAGGTCATTTTACCTATGTCATACTTCAATGACCATGCCAGGTTTTAAGCCCCAGAGATCCCAGCCTTTCCTCAACCAGTATTTCTTGAAGGTTGCTACTGCTGGCGAGCGGGGGACGCAGCAGGCTAACTTGGCCCTGCCATCTTGCGTGCTGGAAAGACAGATACCAGCAACAGATGTACTCAAGCCTCAGATATTGTGACGATGCTGTGAAGATGGCCAGGCCGCTGCCTCTACATAGCTTTTAGGGGAAGCCCTCCAACCGAGGAAGGTTAAAATGTGCAGGACTAGGAATCAGCCCCAAATTAGCCCATAATAGCTACTCCTAGATACGGCTTCACAGCTGCTTCATGGAGCTTTTAACAGTTCTAACTTGATCCTCTGACTTCAGCACTTTCCATCCTCATGGACTCAAGCTACCAGTTTGCTCTGACCTAAGCGCTGCCCTCCGGCTCCTCCAATAGGCACCAGTTGTCTACGGTTGGAGCACGGGGAGACTCGGGGTGCCAAGACGCTGGAGACCTGGTCTTACCACATTGCTCAGCTAGCTCCCTGGGTTTGGCAGTGATGTCTGCTTCTTTCCCCGCTGAGCCCACAGTGCTGCCACTGTGTGGGGGGCACAGGCTTGCACTGATCTGTCCAGAGAGCACAAGGAAAATGCGAGGGGACGGACTTCTCACTTCCTGGAAGAGCCTAGCAATCATCAACGTTGGGATATGGCTGGCCACGCCTCCCTTCCTCAGACCCAGATCTTTTGGAAAGTAACAAGGTTCCGAGCCTATTTTGAGTTCCAGGCTCCACCTAAAGATAAGATTCACTCTCTTATGTTTCTTTTGTTTTTATGATATGGTTGCTGGGTCAGAAGGAAGCATGCTAGGTTGACCTACACCTCAGGTGAACCACACTCCATTCCCACCCATTCCCCAGGACCCACGTGAAAAGGTTTATACACAGCGGTCCATACTTATAATTCCAGTGCTGGGGAAGTGGAGACAGGTGGATTCCTGGGGCTTGCTAGCCAGTCAGTCTAGAGTTAGTTAGTTCTAGGCGAACGAGAAACACTGTCTCAAAAACTAAGGTGAACGGCACCTGAGGAACACTCAAGGCCTGTTCCCTGTGCATACACGCAAGCCTGTGTCTTTACGTTAATGAATGTAGCGGTAGCGTTCTCAGTCCTGGGCTCTTGGTCCTCACCCGGTTAAGTCAACCTACTCGGTTCAGGAGCACCACAGTGCCAGCTGGCAAGTCTGTCCAGACAACCAAAGGCTTTTTACATCCTCTGCTCTGTTGTCTTATACAAGCTCTGCTCTGCCACAATCTGAAGGCTGTCCCAGTACATGTCTGCCACGTCACACACTAAAATGACAGTAACTGTCCTGAGGGAAGCCAAAGGTTCCACCTGTGATGTCTCCTTGAATTCTCTTGACTGCGGCTGGGATTTTTACAGATGAACAAGCCAAAACTTAGATGGGGTAAGTGGCTTGTCTGAGGTTCAAGGGTCACACAGCTTAAAGAAAGAGCTGGTATTTGAATCCATGTCTAGATGATATTGAAGCAAGGTACTTTCCAAGCGAGATAATCAGGTTTCAATCTTGCCTGCTCCTCTCAGGCCCTAGCTGCTACCTGCGTATTGTCTTCAGTCATGTCTCTGGGCGGCCAGTGACTGTGGACTTAGAGATAGGGCTGACCGCCTGCTCTCTGATAGCCCCAAACCCCAGGCTGTGTTAGTCCTTCGTGACAGCGCGCTCAGGTTCATTCCAGCTTTGCCGCACTCACCACTGAACAGAACGCAGCTCTAAGGCTTCACGAGGTAAAGTCACCTGGCAAGGTGGCGCTGGTGTCCTACAGGACAAGTGTCCCTTAGCAAACAGCACAGGAACGGGCAGCCTCAGGCGCAGGGCCGCATGCACGACCCTGCCGACCTCCACTCTCCGTGAACCGAGGTGGGCTGCTCGGTTTCTCAATGCCTGGTTCCTCTCCCTCCCGCGCTGCTCTAGCCTCAGTTTACCTAGCCGCTGCAGCCGGACCCGCCCGGCGCCTTACGCTGTCAGCTGACACCTGCGACAGCTGCAGGTCAAGAGCGCAGAAGCCACAGCCGGTCCCGTTGCAAGAAGCCAGCTGTTCTTCTCCGGGGGACGTAGGGTTCGCAGTCGCGGTGTAATGACATCACCACCCGGTCGCCAATAGGAGGACTGCTGCCTTTCACTGTTACTCGTTTCTTTAATTGACGCAGCGAAGAGAGCTGGTGGCCGAGTCTAGCTCGTGAGGCTTGCCATGGCTCAGGCTCTGACCGTAGCAACTCCGGTACCAATTTCACCTACTTGGAGCAGCACCTTTTTCTTCCCACGCCCTGTTTTAGGAACAAAAGCGGGGAGGGGGCGTAATGGGGGAAGTGAGGTGTAATCTCAAGTCCAGCGAGCAGGCATTCAAGTGGAAATGCTCACACAAGCACACCCCGAGTCCTCTGGCATATGGAAACAAAAAGGGGCTCTGAGAAAGAGGCTCGGAAATTAATTAAGGTCCAAATAGATCTTCAGAGACTTTAGTTGTCCCAGGAAGTATTTCGGACTTTGTTTTAGTTATGTTTTCTTTAAAAAATATTTTTCACTGAGGCATTGTATTCTCTCTCTCTTTCTCTCTCTCTCTCTCTCTCCCTCTCTCCCTCTCTCCCTCTCTCCCTCTCTCCCTCGTTTTTTTTCGAGACAGGGTTTCTCTGTAGCTTTGGAGCCTGTCCTGGAACTAGCTCTTGTAGACCAGGCTGGTCTCGAACTCACAGAGATCCGCCTACCTCTGCCTCCCGAGTGCTGGGATTAAAGGCGTGCGCCACCACCGCCCGGCCTCATCTTCCTTCTTCATAGTGCATGAGTTTAGCTGAGGTGGTCAATGCAAGAAAACCGGACTGACAGGGTGGGAGCAGGCTGTCCTGCCATGCTTGTTCTACGTCTTTGAGATGCACACCAAGTCTGGGGCTGACCTCTCCGTGTTTGTTTAACCTGCTTGTGAGGTTAACAACATTGTTCCTAGCTCTGTGATCAGCAGCAATTCCAAACTCTCAGGCGTAACCAGGCTTCGTCCTCACAGTTAGAAGCCAGGCGATAACTTGGGAGCTGATAAGGAGCTGGCATTGGCTTCCCTCTTCAGCTTACTAGAGCCCTCGAGTACATCATCCAGGACACTCATGTGCACTATTGCGGTGGCATGGAAGAATGACAGAAAGGGAAGATGAGCAGTTGGTCAGAGAGATGGCTCAGGGTTTAAAAGCAACTGCTGCTCTTCCAGCGGATCTGGGTTTGAGTTTCTGCGCCCACATTGTATCTTACAGTCACCTGTAACTCCAGTTCTGGGAGATCTGTTGCCTTCCCTGGCTTCTGCAGGTACCAGGCATGCATGTAATGCACAGACATACAGGCAGGCAAGACAACTACACATGCACAGAGAATAAAAATAAAAATTTGCAAAGAGAGACCAGGAGGGACTGGTTCATCGAATTCCCTAGTTACTTCTCTTGCTGCTATAATAAGATAGCTGACAAAAACTTACAGAAGGAGGGGGACATTTTAGACCACCATTTGGGGGTACAGATCACCATGGCAGGGGCAGTATGGTAGCAGGAACTTGAGAAAGCTGGTTACACTGCAGTCAAGAAGCAGGGAGATGAAGGTTGGTTCTCACCCTGCTTTCTCCTTTTTATGTAGTCCCAGGGTCGTTGGCCATGACTTGGCGTCACCCGCAGTTAGCGTGGGTCTAATAACCTTGACTAACTAACTTGATCTTGATAATCCCTGACACACATGCCAGAAGTGTGTCTTTTCAGTGACTTCTAGATCCTGTCAAACTGACAGTCAATATTTACCGCCCAGACCTAGCCACACGCACGTGAAGCCATTGGAAGGAGCTCAGCTGAGGTGCCATGCCCAGACTTGCACCTGAGAAATCTGAATCAAGGGAGATTGTCTGTAAGACTAGAGAGTAGCAGGTAAGAGCAATGGGGTTGTGCTGTGTGGTGGAGATGGCAAGTGTCCAGGAATGTTCAGGAGGAGGAACCGGCTGCCCTCAGTGACAAGAAGTAGACCTGAGAGGAAGGCAGTGCCAGAGCCTTTGCCATCTGTGGAGATGCAGCTTCTTCAGGGGCAGGGCTTGGGAGGAGGATGATGAGCCCAGTTTTGTATAGGCTGAACATCACATACCCGAGGGACACCCAAAGGCACTTCAGGATCATGGTCCAAGACAGGAAACTAGAAGGAGGCATTTCAACCTGGCTTTAAAAGCTACGTCTAGTTAGAAATGGAGCCCATGGAGGGGTTGAGACTGAGCGTGTGAGCAGAACCTCATACAAACATCATACAAAGTCTTAACAAATTGTGGAACAGAAGGAAACGTTTGCAAATCAAATATCAGACAAAAGGCTTGTCTCCCAGCTATACAAAGACCTCTCAAAGGTTAGTGAGTGAGAACAGTCAATTGAACCGGTTATTGGACAAAAGACTTAAACAGGTAACTTCACAAAAGAGAAATGCAGAAAATTAGGACGGGAAAGATATTGAAGCACATTGACCACCATGGAAGTGCAAAGTGCAGTCACAGTGTGACACCACTGTGCACCTACTAAAACGACCAAAAATCCTTTTCATGTGTCTACAGGATTTAGAAGGACGGAGACCCTCATGCGCAGCTGACAGAATTTTAAATACATGCAAGAACTTTGTGTTTCTTTTTTTTTAATGTCTTTTTTTAATATTTATTTATTTATTATGTATACAATGAATGTTCTGTCTGTGTGTATGTCTGCAGGCCAGAAGAGGGCACCAGACCTCATTCCAGATGGTTGTGAGCCACCATGTGGTTGCTGGGAATTGAACTCAGGACCTTTGGAAGAGCAGGCAATGCTCTTAACCACTGAGCCATCTCTCTAGCCCCTTTGTGTTTCTTTGAGACAAGCTCTCTCCACGTAGCCCTGGCTGTCCTCAGACTCACAGAGACCCCCTGCTGGCATCCACCCACACACCTTGCCCCACTGGGGACTCTTGAGGAACATTCGCCACCACGATCTTGCCATTTCTCTCCTTTGTGTTGATAATATTGAATTTTACCTTTGCTCTGTGCTCCTAGAAATAGGGACAATAACCCAGGGTTGCAGAGATAGCTCCTCAATGAAGAACTCTCGTTGATCTTGCATGACTAGACTAGACTAGCTCCAGGATATCTAGTGCCTTCTGTGGCCTCCACAGGCACCGGCACACATATGCACATAAACATATTTTTAAAACTCTCCATTTTCTGTATTACATAAAACAGCCATGTTTTACATGTATTACATAGAACGAGCCATTATACTTAAATAGGATGCCCCATGCTCTTGTTTACCTAGGACAAGGGCAGACGCAGACCTTCAAATTCTCATTGCTGACTCCCTTGTCCCTACTGCCAGTCAGAGAAAAATGCCCGGTAAGCCTTGGGCCAGATCCTCTTCTTCCCCAGGCCTCCACTTGACCCAAACCTTCACACAGTCCCCAGCAAGGGAGGCCCCAGGCTCCCCTTCCCATTCCTAGCCCTGTGCACCATTCGCTTCCTTTAAACTAAGCCAGGATTGTGCTTCCCTCAATTCTGTGAGTCACTCAAGCAAACTGAATCTGAGGGGAGAGTCAGAGTCCTTTGGTCAGACGTACAAGTAAAAGCAGCTTGGGCTCATGACTAACATGGGAAGTCAGGAGGGACTTCCTGGGACCCGAGACCCAACCTCTGGGGCCTGTGCTATCTCCAGATCATGTCACACTGAATGAGGCATCCCCCAGCTGTTGTTCAGTACTGCAAGACCGCATGCTTGTTTGGTGAGAAGATTCTCCGCAGACCAGAAGGGGTCTGTGTTGTGGACACACAGCAGGAGAAACGGAATCAGAGCTGCTTTGCTCATGATAGCATCAGTCCCCCAGAACAGTCTGTTGCCAGAAATATTCCGTGAGGTCATAACAGCTTGCGTATAAAATCAAAGTGGGAAGAAGAGAAAAAGCAAATGGTATATCCAACATGTACTCACTCATAGGTGGTTTTTAAACATAAAGCATAGAAAGCCAGCCTACAAAACACATCCCAGAGAACTTAGACAACAATGCGGACACTAAGAGAGACTCACATAGATCTAATCTACATGGGAAGTAGAAGGTATAAAAAGACAAGATCTCCTGAGCAGATTGGGAGCATGGGGACCTTGAGGGAGGGTTGAAGGGGGGAGGAGAGAGGCAGGGAGGGGAGCAGAGAAAAATGTAGAGCTCAATAAAGATCAATAAAAAAATTTTAAAAAATGGTATATCCAAATAAAACATATACCGCGAACAATCCAGCCTTCACCTCGCAGCTGCTGGGATCCTAGGTCATTGCCACACCTGGTTTATGCAGCGCTGGGGACTGAACTTAAGGCTCTGCACACACTAGGCAAGCGCCCTACCAACTGCGCTACACCCCAAGCCCAGTGATGGCTTTATTTCCTTTTAATATATGAATGTACTAATACATATGCGCCAGAGGGGGACCTGGAGCAATGGAGCCTGCAGTGAAGATGCCTCCTGCTCAGCCAATGTCTTGTTGCTTTCCCCACATACGCGGGAACAGAGAGTGGACAGAGATCTAACCAGCCTGAGACCAGCCCTCTTCCCTCTGAGCCTCATTTGCTGCACCCAGGAGAAACTTCTACTCTGGGCTGGGAAAGTTTGTCAACAAAGCAGGGACTCCAGGGCTGTCGGGAACCAAATGATGGCCTGCTCTTTAGGGGCCTTATTTTTAGTTCCTGGATATTTTACTGTATTTGGTGATTTTTCAAAACTGGGAAAAGTGATGCCTCTTGAGTGAGCTGTATCCTGGAGAGGGAGGGGAGGGAGGAGGGCTGGGCGGGGCTTCCAGGGGAGGGTGCTGAGGCAGAGAAGCCCAACTGTCCACACAGCCCACCAGCGGCCTTGGACGGGCCTCTGCACACCCTTGCGGCTAGTCCTGTGACCTGAAAACTTCAGGGTGGGGTGCGTCTCAGCCTCACCCCGGAACTCGGCCTGGGCTCCCTGAGCCCGGTGCAGAGTCCTCCCCCACCCCAAGGTTCAGGTGCGCAGTACTCGCTGCCTCTGGGGTGTGTCCAGCCACCCTGGCAGTCCTAGGCCCTCTGCTGCTTCTATCAGAGCGCTAGTTGGCTTGACCCTCCCCCTCTTCTGGGCCGCAGGAGTCTGGA